TGACAGGAAAACAAAAACAGGTCACTGAGCTAGGTGCTGTGACTTTCAAAAGGGAAGTTTCCAAAAAGAGATGGAAGGAAGAACATCATTTTACGGAATAGTTCAGGAGTGAGCGAGGAGGAAATACAGAATACAAACGATTAGTTCAAGAAAATTGGGATTGAAGAGAGTGAGATGGAGCAGGCACTTGAGATGTCCTTTGATGAGAGATGTAGGCATTTCCTAGTAGAAGGAAGCCACCACAGAGGAAGAAAAAGAAGCTAAGCTTCACTGAGGTCCCAGGAAATGAGGGGTGGGATCATACACATGAGGAAAGGATACTCAGGGAGTAACATGTTTTCTTGAGGAGTAGCAGTAGAGTCAAGTTAAGGCTACTAATATGTTTGGTGGTAGGGACAGGAGAATCTAAAAGAGTTTTCAGTGGACTATCTTGCTCTTCTAAGGACATCTCACTAGAATTAAACAAGCCAAGATGAACTTGAAAGTTTGGGGAAAATAACAAGGCCTTCCTGTAGAACTCAGGAAAAGGGTCCAGGAAGGGTGAATACTTTGGCCAAACAGCGTTGAAAGAACCAGCTGGGGTTGAAGTAGAAATTTCAATATTCATAATTTGAAATGGTAACAATAGGCTTCTGTTCCAACTTAGCAGATCAGAATGCCAACACTGTGTGGTTGGTTTAACCAAGGGTTGGATATTATTGTGGGTGGGCAGGGTATAGGATGGGCCACTATTATGTCAGAATTGCCTAGGCTGAGGACAGGAGGGGGAGTGAGGAGTGAGCTGGCATATATACCAGAGCAAGTTCCCAATGCCATTAATGAATGATGACACATGTCCTGGGAAACTGATGATAGTAGCAACAAGAATGAGAAACAGGTGCTATAACTGGCTTCATCTCTGAAGGAGGAGGGGTGCTGGAAGAGGTATCAATGAACAGTGGCTCCAAAAAGCAATAGGAGAACAAAAGAATGCCAAGCTGACAATGCTGAAAACAGGCCAAATAATACAGACATATTGGTATATACATATATGTATGTAGTTGGTGACTGGGTCTTTATAGTACACTCCCATTTGAGGCTCATTCATAGCTTCTCTCCCCTATTTATTGAACAAGTGAGTTCTAAGCTCCTGATACCTGGGTCCAGCCATGAAGAAGCCAGGCTAAGTGTGAAGGGCTGAACATTTATTCAATTAGCAAATACTGACTGAAGGTACCAGGTTCTAGGCATTGTCTGAAGATTTAAGGAGGGAAAGGGTAATGATCTTGCCTTTAGGAAGCTCATGGTTGAATCTTGGGCATGTGTATATTTGCTGAAGATTTACAAAGCTTTTTATAAGGAGAAACTTGAACTTCCCACCATTAATTCTCCTTCCCACTAAGTATGTGGTGCTGGAGGTTGAGGGAGAGGGGTGGGAGAGTGTTAGCAATGAAAGTCTGACTGTGTTAGTAAAATTTTGGAATTAAGAAAGCATTTTCTTTTTTTTTTTCAAACGTTTATTTATTTTTGGGACAGAGAGAGACAGAGCATGAACGGGGGAGGGGCAGAGAGAGAGGGAGACACAGAATCGGAAACAGGCTCCAGGCTCTGAGCCATCAGCCCAGAGCCTGACGCGGGGCTCGAACTCACGGACCGTGAGATCGTGACCTGGCTGAAGTCGGACGCTTAACCGACTGCGCCACCCAGGCGCCCCAGAAAGCATTTTCTAAAAAGGGATTTTACTTTCAAGTAACATAGTATGGAACTTAGACTTATCATGAATTCCCCAGCAAAGAGTCTGCTTACTTTAATTGATATGACAGTGATATTAATTGGGTCTACTAACGCTAGTGAATAACACTGCTTACAGGTATGGGTAGGATTTCATGGGTGGCAGAGTAGCCAGGCATTCTGCACATACACGATGTGTCCTGTATTTAATGGTTTGTCCTGCTTCCTGTATTGGCTTTCTCAGGACACCCTAAATGTTCTGTAGCCATTTTTTTTCTGAGTAAATTATAAAAATGCAGCAGTTAAAGCTATTATTCAAATTGATTTGGGCATCCTATTTGCTAAATTTTGTGCCCTACTAAGGAATCATTCAATGCCTATACGCTTCCATGCTCTGGCATGCTTCATGGTGTCTCTGGCAAGGCAAATAGGATTTCCTGTCCCAGGAATTTCCCAACACTGAAAACAGTCTGTCTTCCTGAAATTTTTACCTGATACCCCAAGCAGCACTCTTTGAGACCATATAGAACAAATCAAATCCCTTTTCCTTAAAGAACTTCAGATATTGAATTTGCTTTGTTGGAGACCGCCTCATGTTATAAACTCTGAAGTTTTCTATGAGCTCAATCCAGTGGTGTGCTAGTAAACTGGATCAAAACCACAAAAGACAAAACCCTGGTTTGTGGCATATGCTGATTTCTGTGATGAAGACACTCCAGCCATGACACCATGACCAATTTCATGCTGCCAAAGTCAAGTGATTGAACTCAGAGTTGGGAAGGGCTGTGCACATTCCACTCTTGAGGTTGGTATGTGTTGGCTCCAGCACACCGGTGCTTCAGTTTTTGTTTTATTAACATATTTTGCTAATTGGTTTCACTCCATTTGAATACCGAATTGATACTGGTGTCTTGAGGAAAAGAATTTTATAAATACTCTACAGGAAGATTTGTGAAGAGGAGGTGACATATTGGCTATGGAGGATAAAGGAAAGGATGGGCTCAAAAATACTCCCCAGGTTAGCAGGTATCACTGCTGATCAAGATAGAGACGGTATGTTCAAGGAGGAAAGGTAAGTGATCTATACATCCATTGGGCAAATATTTAGTGAGCACTAATTCATGTCAGGCACAGGTATTTCTGAGACAGATATAAGAGAGAACACAACAGATAAAAACCCTTGCTCTTGTGTCGTTGATATTTGATCTTATTAGAATTGGACCCTTGAAGGAAACCTGTGGGAATCTCATTGGACCCAGAACCTTCTGCTGAGTAAGTCCTCTACCCTTTCCAGCTTCAAGCCACTAAGAGATTTGATAAATGGCTTTCTAGTACCTTGTGCTGTACCATTAGAAACTTCCATCCAAACTGACTTCACATGGTGCAATTGTTACCTCTTACAGGTAGCCCTTCCTGACATTCCTTACTGCCTCCCTCCCTCTGAATCCAGTTAACTCTTGTTCCATAGCAACCCTTGTGGTGGTAAGATATAACCCTTGTTATTCTGTGTAATATGTATCTTTTTGCTTTCCCACTGGGTTGTAAATTTCCCAAGGGTGTTTTCTTGCAAGTTCCATCTTAATAGATAAAGCAGAGCCATCCATCAGCTTAACCTTTTTCTGAAGTAGTAAAGACCGAACTAAACTCATTTTCAATGTAAAATATTCACCTAAGCCAGTCAAGATCATTTTTACTTTACATTAATATTTTCCCTCCTGTTACATTAAAAATAAAATCCCCAAACAAAAATGTAGCCCCTAAAATCTGCCCTTCACGTATTTTATTCTAATTAAACACACACACACTTTTCAAAAATCATTTTAAAAGTAATGTTTTTGAACTCCCTACTAATGACTTTATTCACTAGTTTACATTTGTCTTATTGTGGAGGAAAGTTACATGCATGGGGGAGGAAGAGTAATCAGAGAGCAGCCCTGAGGACAAATATTGCCTTGGGAAAAAATAATGCAAATAAATATATGAATCAGTGTCTCAAGTCAGTCGTTCAATGACTCACTGGGAGAGGGAATGGTTTTTCCTCTGGACTCTGGCACCCAGCGGAAACCATCTCTAGAAAACATTTCATCTTTTTCTACAATGGTAACGTAGCACAGTGTTCTCTAGGCGTGTTACATCTGCCACATGGCAAATCTACAAGACTCTAAAGAGTGCCATTTGAATATGATTTCTTCTTGCATAGTGAGTAGTTTCAGCAGGGCCAGGAGTTTGCTTAGGTTTTCTGAAGATAATCAGGATCGAAACCTTACACGTTCCTTTCGTCCTCAGAACAGCTATCACAGCCATACTTTTCAACATTCCGGTAAGTTTTGATCTTGAAGGCATTCAGGAACGCTCTTACATTTCTAATTTTGTTCCAGTTTGATATGTATCATACTTCCTCTCCCAAATCAACTCCACATTCAACATGTCTTACCATCTTCCAAGAGAAACCACTCATGCAGGGTACTCATCTCTGATGGTTGTGCCTAAATATTGTGCTCTCACCAAATTACTTATTTGCCAGGATGTCTGCTCTCCAAGAGCTGCCATATATATTATATACAGCAAAGTTTTCTGGCAAATTTGCTTTTGGTTTCTTCAAAAGTAACATGGATTTTCCAGGGCTAAAGGATACAAAGAGGTGTTTATTTTTCAGCTTTTCTACCCAATTAGTTTTAACACAAATATATAAAGATAGTACCAGTGTACCGGTGGAGGTGATTTCTCCGGATTGTTCCACTGTATCCATTTATCTGCCTCTCCTTGTGAGAAGGCTGGAACTAACAGTTCCAAAGCTGGTCCTCTGCCCATTTGCCTAGGATGAACTTCTTCCCTTCCTTGCTCTCACCCTAGATTGTGGATTTTGTTTGAAATCTCTTCCACTTCAGACACTTCAAGAGCAACCTCATTAATCCTGCTCAAATGAAATCTGGAAGTCCTTGAAAAAAACCAAAAGGCTCTATGTGGCCAGTTCATGGCAACCCCAAGAACTTTGATTTAAGTTTTGCCTCTGATTATATTTTGACATGATGTTTTTTTTCCGTAAACACTGAAAAAACCAAGTCAAGGTTTAGGCAAGTAGGGGCAGGGCCTCATGGAGAGGTTGGAGTTGCCTGAAGTTGGGGGGGGGTCCCCGGAACACACAATTATCACCTCAAACCTATTTCCCTCAAAGCTGGGAGTGATGGCTGAGTGATATTCTCAAAGCACCACCTGTCTGGAGAAAGGGTATTCTGCCTTCTCTACAGAGCTCTGCATGTACACTAACCCATAACATCCTCAGTAAGTACCTTGGTTGTTGCTTGTGGTCATACACTCCGTGGACCAGTCTTGGGGGATCACAGGGGCAACCAGCTCAGCAAACTTGGTCAGAGGACAGCTGGGAGTGCAGCCTGGCAGTGTGAGGGGATATGGTTCGTGCTGCGTCTCATTCCGATAGTACATCTCTATGAAATACTCCCTGGTGGAAGAAGGTAGAAGAGAGAGCTGTTAGTTCTGTGTTGTTGAACTGCCATTGAATATTTTCCCATCTGGCCTGTAACATGTCAGCTGTAGGACTAGGGGAAGAATATACAGGAATGAGTAGATATGAGCTAACTTAGGTGTGGGAATAGGGAGATTGGGGCCAGTGGGTCAGATCCAGAGGGTAGAAATGGGAGGACTGGTTTGTTAGATAACCAGAGGCAAAGGAGGTAGGGACCAGGAAGCTTAATCAGAGAGGGAGCTACCAGGTGGTGGTTGGGGGAGTTAGGGATGATTTGATGAGCCTTTGAGTAAGAAGTGGGGATCAGGTGGGGTGTTGGGTTTTCTTTCTCCTATTCTCTCCCCTTTATGATCCCCATTTGCTTCATTTTCTTTTCCTCTCTCAGTATTTCTTGTAGCCTTTCCCCTGAATGAAGTTGTCTCTCTTCTCCTTAGCCAGGCAATAACTTGGAAACATATGCGCTTAAATATACATCAAGATTTTATCAAAATTACATCTCAGAAAGAGGGTGTGGATGTATACCTAGGTAATTTATACTCCCTCATCCTCAATACTTTACTTGAAAAAACAAGGTGTTGTTTCAGGAAAAACCACTGGCCTTTGCCAACCTTGTAAAACTAGTACGAGGGGCTTATGGAAGTCTTTTGCCAAACATGCAGGAGAGAAATTCAAGTAGGATTTAGTGATCATTCTTGCCGTAGTAACCTCACAACTGCCACTGTTGGTTGTTGTTATAAACAAGCCTTTAAAACATCACTTTGAAAGCCACATAAACAGTATTAACCGCAAATATTCACTTAGAGAAATGTTTTTAAAAACTTCCCAATATTATGTGAATGAGTGCTTATACCCCGGGATAATTTTCCAGTGACAGCATCTTTTATCTCAAGATGATATGGCAAACATAACTAACAGTCAATCAAAATTCGTGATTCTCTTTCTACTGAATAGAGTTATGGCTGAAAATGGACTACATTTCCCAGACTCCCTTGTACCTAGGTGGGACCAAGTGACTACAGGTATTCCTTGGAGATGTTGTGGGTTTAGTTTCAGACTACTGCAAGAAAGCAAATATCACAATAAAGTGATTGAAAGGAATTATTTGATTTCCTAGTGCATGTAAAAGTCATGTATATTCTTTATAGTAGTCTACTAACTGTGTAACAGCATATGTCTAAAAAATGTGTATAACCTAATTAAAAATACTTTATTGCTAAAAAATGCTAACCATCATCAGAGTTTTCAGTCAATTGTAATCTTTTTGCTGGTGGAGGGTCATGCCTCTGTATTGGTGACTGCTGACTCCAGGGTGGTAGTTGCTGAAGGTGAGGGTGACTGTGGCAATTTCTTAAAATAAGACGACAGTGAAATTTGCCACATCAGTTAGTTGACTCTTCCTTTCCTGAATAATTTCTCTGCAGCATGTGATGCTGTTTGACAGTATTTTACCCACAGAAGAACTTCCTTCAAAAGTGGAGTCAATCCTCTCTAACCCTGCCACTGCTTTATTAACTAAGTTCATGTGATATTCTAAATCCTTTGTTGTCACCTCAACAGTCTTCTCAGCATCTGCAGCAGAAGTAGGTTCATCTCAAGAAACCACTTTCTTTGCTCATCCATTCAAATTTTGTCATGAGATTGCAGCAATTCAGTCCCGTCTTCAGGCTCCACTTCTAATTCTAGTTCTCTTGCTGTTTCTACCACATCTGCACTGAAGTCTTAAACCCCAATCATCCATGAGGGTTTTGGAATCAACTTCTTCCAAACTTCTGTTAATGTTGATATTTTGACTTCTTCCCATGAATCATGAATGTTCTTAATGGCATCTAGAACAGTGAATCCTTTCAATTTGCTTGGCCCCAATCCATCAGAGAGGAATCACTAGTGTATCTATGGCAGCTACAGCCTTCCAAAAGGTGTTTGTCAAATCATAAGATTTGAAAATCAAAACTGCTCCTTGATCCATGGGCTGCAGAATGAATGTTGTGTTCTCAGGCATGAAAACATTAATCTCATTGTACATCTCCATTAGAGCTCTTGGGTGACCAGGTGCATTGTCAATAAACAGTAATATTTTAAAAGGATATTTTTCTGAGCAGGTCTCAAAAGTAGGCTTTTGTAAAATACTATTTCAGTAAACCATGTTATAAACAGATGTGCAGTCATCCAGTTTTGTTGTTCCATTTACAGAGCGCAGGTACATTAGATTTAGCATACTTCTTAAGGGTCTTAGGATTTCCCAAGTGGTAAATGAGCACTGGCTTCAACTTAAAGTCACCAGCTGCATTAGACCCTAACGAGGGAGGCAGCCTGTACTTTGAAGCTTTGAAGTCAGGCATTGACTTCTCTCTAGCTGTGAAAGTCCTAGATGGCCTCTTCTTCCAGTAGAAGGTTGGTTCATCTACATTGAAAATGTGTTGTTTACTGCAGCCACCTTCATTAATGATCTCAGCTAGATCTTCTTCTGGGTCACTTGCTGCAGCCTCTCCATTGGCATTTGCTGCTTCATCTTGCACTTTTATGTTATGGAGACGGCTTCTTTTCCTAGACCATGAACCAATCAATCTCTGCTGGCTTCCAGCTTTTCCTCTGCAGCTTCCTCTCTCTCTCAGCCCTCACAGAATTGAAGAGAGTCTGGGCTTGCTCTGGATTAGACATTGGCTTAAAGGAATGTTGTGGCTGGTTTGATCTTTTATGGAGACCATTAAGACTTTCTCCATATAAGCAATAGACTGTTTTGTTTCCTTATCATTTATGTACTCCCTGGAGCAGCACTTTTAATTTCCTTCAAGAATTTTTCCTTTGCATTCACAACTTGGCTACCTGTGTGGCACTAAAGGTCTAGCTTTCGGCCTATCTCAGCTTTCAACATTCCTCCCTCACTAAGCTTAATCATTTCTAGTTTTTGATTTAAAGTTTGACACATGCAACTCTTCTCTTTACTTGAACACTTAGAGGCTGTTGTAGGGTTATTAACTGGCCTGATTTCAATATTGTTGTGTCTCAGGGAGTAGAGAAGCCTGAGGAGAGGGAAAGACAGAGAGAGTGAGAGTAAGAGTGAGAGTGAGAGTGAGAGAGAGCGAGAGAGAGAGAGCAAGAGAGAGAGAAAATGGCCGGTTGGTGGAACAGTCAGAACACACACATTTATCTACTAAGTTCATGGTCTTATATTAATGTGGTTCATGGTGCCCAATACAATTACAATAGTATCATCAAAGATCACTGATCACAGATCACCAAACAAATATAATAATAGTGAAAACTTCAAAATATGGTGAGAATTACCAAAATGTGATACAGAGACACAAAATGAGCAATTGCTGACAAAAAAAATAGCAGCTGTCGAAAAAATTGCTTGACACAAGTTTGCCACAAACGTTCAATTTGCAAACAATGCAATAACTATGAAGTGCAATAAAGTGAAGTACAATAAAATGAGGTATGCCTATCATTTTAGCCAGTAGAATGCAAGCAGAAGTGATATGTGCCCCTTCTGGGTTAAGGTGGTTGATAAACAGGTTGTCTTCTCTACCCTCTCATTTCTTTCTATAAGTTGCCTGCAAGTGAGCACAGCACTCTTGAAAACTATTGGTCCAAAAGATGGAAGCCTGGGGGTGCCTGGGTGGCTCAGTCAGTTAAGCATCCGACTTCGGCTCAGGTCATGATTCGGTTTGTGAGTTCAAGCCCTGTGCCAAACTCTGTGCTGACAGCTCAGAGCCTGGAGCCTGCTTCGGATTCTGTGTCTCCCTCTCTCTCTCTGCCCCTCTCCCACTTGTGCTCTGTCTCTCAAAAATAAATAAACATTAACAAAATTAAAAAATAAAAGATGGAAGCCTGGGTCCCCAAATCACGCCATGGGTGAATCAACTCCTATTAGCCAGGGACATCTCTACTAGAGTATTAGATATGTGAGAAAGAAATGTCCATTGGGGTAAACCTCTGAGAATCTGAGGTTCATTTGTACAGCGGCTAAAATTACCTTTATTTGTTAATATATCTGGAAAACAGTTTTTAGGGGACTCAAAATTGACTCTAGTGGTGAAGACACAAGTTAAGATGCATACAAAGAGTCTGGATAAAATTGTTTCATGAAATCTGAAAGTGGAATAAAGCAATATTTTTAACTTAGTGAATTATTTTACATTTTACTTTACTTTACTTTAATTTTATAAGAGAGAGTCCATGAGCAGGGGAGGGATAGAGGGAGAGGGAAAATCTTATGCAGGCTCTACGCCGATGCAGGGCTTGATCTCATGACCATGAATGAGGTCATGATCTGAGCCAAAATCAAGATTCGGATGCTCAACCAACTGAGCCACCCAGGTGCTCCTTTAGTATTTGATTTTAAATTTATGTACCTAACTGAAAATTAAATATTAAAAAATATTTAAGCTAATAATAATAAAACCTGAGATCAAGTGGTATTGATTGTGAAAAGCACCTTTTAGATACCTACCCATTCTCAAGATACAATTCCATTATGTGGCAGGAAGCATAGGGAGGAAGGATTCCATTGTAAACATCTAGTGCCATCTGCAAGCCAGCCACGGTAGTATCATGCTGTGGGGATTTGAAACAAATCATTTTTGATCTTTACCTCTGGTTCAGATGTACGTTCCATAGGTAGTTTGAAGCACTTGTAGAAAACCATGATGGTTTCCGATCCAATTAAATTTGCCATAACCCCAATGACTCAAGGGGTAGAGAGGGGAAGAACTAATTTTGGTCGAGCATCTGTTGTGTGCTAGGCAGTGAGACTTAACTACATATTATTTCCATTACAAAGATGAGCAAACAGACCCAGAGATATTAAGTAACTTGCTTAATGTCATATAACCCTGAAATGGAAGAAAATAAATTTGAGTCAAGTTTTCTGCTTTTGTCCCTTGCCTTTTCTAGCGGAACATCTCTGTTTTAGCTGGTTTCACTGATTTGCATTACATTTTAAAATATTTTGGAACACATTAGTGCTAGATTGTATTTCTTCTACAGATTAGAATAATCTGTGATTTTAAAGTTGGGGAAGAATATGTAAGGTTATAAATATCAGGGAAGACAAAAATGTAAGGAAATGGAAAGCACAGCTTAAAAGTAATTGTTAAAGGTTTATCCCAGTGTGGCTGGAAGGCATAGGGGACTGGTTTTTCAGTCTTAGTTTTGCCACTAATTAACTACACAGTCTTTGAAAGTCCTCAGCTTCTCTATCGACAAACGGGCATAACATTTGGTTGCCTAAATTATATGGCAGTGTACATATATTAAAAAGGGGTTAGAACTAATTTACTAGAGAAAGAAATAGAATTACAGAATTATGACTTGCCAGAAATCACACAAGTTAGAACTGGAAAGCAGATGGGAAGCTAAAAAAATTGGCAGAATGGACTGGTTTCAGGAAGCCCTTCTCCAGGAAGCACTACACTCTGTTTCATCCATAAGCTCTTTGTCTTACCCCATTTAGAACCTCTGATCATAAACAAACTTCCTTGTATCTATAGTCACCTCATCCATCTTCCTGCAGAATGGAAACATGGCTTTCTTCAGCCAAACCGCATCTGAGAAATCCTCTATCATGGAGAAGTGGGTGGGAAGCCGAGTCACCATGTTGCGTGTCCTGGTTCGCTGATCTTTGCAGACTCAGTCCATGGACGGCCATTTCAGTGCTCAATGCATCCCTCAAATCCCACCCTCCACCCCGCCAACAGTGCCCATTTGCCTGACTCCTGCTCCAAGATGGAGGTCTTCTCTGAGACCTCTCTTTTTCTTCCTGCAGCCAGTGTAGTTCTAACTTCAGGCTGCGGTCATTTGCCCCCTTCTCTCCCCTATTCCCCTTGCCACCTGGAGATTTTTATTTGGATGCTCCCTGGTGCTTCAGACCCAATTGTCTAATCATTCCCCTGCCCCAGGAGCACCTCCGTTAATGGCTCCACCCTCCTTTTGGTCTTGGAGGCTTGAAACATGGCCTTCACCTGTGGGTTTACCTCCACGTCATTACTCTCTGCCTACATCTAATTCATGCTCTGCTTTTGGTTTGGAACAGAAATGATGCTTCCCCTCTCCAAGGCAAAGCTTTTACCTGTACTGCATTTCCATACTGCTTTGTATGGTATTTATGTCTTCCTGTCAGTTTTAGACTGTAAACTCAAGGGCCAGAATTAGGTGTTTAAAAAATTTTAAATATAAAAGCAAAATAAAATTAAAAAGTGCCAACCACATAGGTGGTCACATATACACATATTCAGGAGACCTGACAAATCAATATTGAAAAGCTTTGAAGAGCTGTCTACTATCTGCTGGGCATTAGGGAAATGATGATGAAAATGAGGCTCCCTCCTTAAAGAGGTCACTTACTGGACAAATGGATATTGATTGGAGATGAAAATACTTACTGCAGAATACATGACAAGTTTTCTGTGGTTTGATGGCCGAGTTGCACTCTTCAGGTGATTGAGGATTTCACCGACCAGGACACCTTAAAGATAGATCAACAAAGGAGCTGAACCAAACGTGAGCTTATGTTTTAGTTCCTAAACTTTGTGTTTATTCTTACTTAGTGATTCTCTCTGCCATGATTCTCAAGACTTGAGAGGAAAAGAACTAACTTTGGTTGAGCATCTATTGTGCTTTATACACATTAGTTTACTGAACCTGACTTCTATCCCCCGTTTACACCAAGGAAGCTGAGGCCCGGCGACATACAGCGAGTCATACAGGCTGTGCAAAGAGAGCTGGATTGGCACACTGGGACCCTACCACCCCCAGGTTTTGTTAAAGCTCAAGACAGGAGGTTGAGGAACTTGAAAGGAATTGCAAATGGCATTTTCAGACAGTTGTTAGTGAGTGCTCTTCTCCAGGGCAGCCATGATGCGATAGCCTGGCACGTATTCTGTCTCCCCCTCTTGCTTCTGTTCTCTTGGTCAAACCTGTGGGAGGCTGTGGGAGAAAGCAGCTCTCTGAATGTCTGTACAAGTCATGGGCTGTTTTCTGTGGCCCATTACTCCAGGTTACCCTGGACATCACTATTAGGGGGCAGTCAGCATCTTTCATCTAAGGAATCCATCTGTCTTCAGTAGAGGAGAGCTCTTGCCCTTCATGTTTGTTGCTCCTGAGGTGATGAAGGCGGGTACACAACTCACAGTCTCCATGTCCTTGAAGGCTGAGGGGTACCTTGGAGTGCCAGGCATGGTCTTGAGGGCATCCTGCCCCAGGAACTTCCACAACCATCATCTGAAGACTCCTTATATCTCTGGTGGTTTTTTACTACACGTGTACTCTCCTGGCTTCCCAGTGATCAGTTCATTTTTGTCAAGAGCAGGGCATTGATGTTAACAGATGGAAGGTCATTCTGGACTCTGTGGTCCACTCAGCAAACACACACTGAGCAGCTACCATGGGCCAGATACTATGCTAGGTGAATCAGACTCCTGCCTTCGAAAATCTCTTAAAATAGTACACAGAGACTGTTTATTCATCTATATACCAAGAGGCACAATAAAAGGCTAATTACAAAGGGAGGTGGTCTGTTCTTTCTGTAGATGCTGTGACTCCCTTGACTGGGAACGGAAGAAGCTAGATGCTGCTTCTCCAATGGGTCTACATCACTCTGCTTCAGAGAAGGTTGCTTTCTCAGAGTCCTTTAGGGATAACACCATCACCTACCAGCAACTTGCTCTGTAACAGGTACTTTGAAGCTGCCTTCAGCATTGATAATGGGAGATGATATCAGCTCTTGGTTCTGAGGTGATTGTCCACCTTGCCCCCAGAAGAAACTAGGGGTAACTACCATAGTTATCCCCGGGCTCTGACATGCCTATTATTTTGCTTTATAGGAGGGGAAACTAGGTTCAGAGACACTCAGCAACTTGTCCAAGATTCCACAACTTGTGCACAGGGGGGCTGAACTTCTCTGAACCCAGCATGTCTTAATCACTAGACTCCACTGTAGTGTGCACTAGCTTCTCCATTCCCTGTTACATCATTTATTAACTGCATAAACCAGACAAAATATCACTGACTGGAAGACATAAACTTCCCTTCTCACACTCTTGAGCTGCAGCAGGGGCTGGCAAACTTTTTCTGCAAAGGACCAGACAGTGGACCATATGGTCTGCCATAACTGTTCACTCTTGGGTGGAAGCCCAAAACAGCCATAGTCCTACCTAAACGAATGAGTGTAGCTGAGTGTCAATAACATTTTATTTATAAAAAATAGGCAGCGGGCTGGATTTGGCTTGCAGGATATAGTTTACTAACCTGTGGTCTATAGCAAGAAGAGGTTTATATTAATACAGATGTGACCAGCCATATATTCCTAAATGAACCTTAGGGATTTTCTTGGTGTGTGTGTGTATGTGGCAAAATGTGGGCGGAGTGTGCATATTACCAAATTGTATCATCCCTAACACCAACTGGTAGAACAAAAGTTTTGGCAAAGATCAGAAGATACCAGTCAAAGTCCTGATGTTCCTGTGTGACTCTGTCACCTAGACAATATGTTTTTTTTTCTGTAGGATTGTGTTCAGCCACTTCATCATTCAACAAGCACGTAGTTGACAAATCTCTCTTGCCTAGCCAGATCCAAACAATAGGCTGAACTTGGGTTTTGGTAGGAATCATTCAGGAAACTATTCCCTGGTTTTTCAATACACTAGACTTCTCCAGAAAACAGGGCAGGTGCGTTCACAGAGAAACCAGTCTTCAAAGTCCAAGACGGAAAGAACCCCTGAGGGAAAGACTCTTACAGACAGAATCTAGATGGGGAAACTGACTGAGCAGGGAAGTTATTTCCCTGAAATGCAATCTCTAGTAGTCAAAGGAAAAAAAGAAGAGGAACAAGCTGTGAGGAAAACCCCCATTTTTTATTCCTGTACAGAGTTCTACATCTATTATTAAACTATTCTCAACTTCTGCCTGGCTTTCTCTGCCCATTTCTTCACTGTTTCTTGCATCTAGAGAAGTGCTTCTGAACTTTCATGTTTTATGAGGTACCTCAGGATTTCATTATAATGCAGATTATGATTCATCTGGTCTGGGGTGGGGCCTGAAATTTCTGCATTTCTAACCAGAGGCTTGTTGAGGGTGAGATTACTGCCCCATGGACTGCATTTTGAGTAGTGAGAGGCTGAATTCCTCAGCCCATCATGACTAGGTTGAG